TTGGCAACAATGCTCCACAGGTTAAGTGGCATAGGGTTTATTTTAAATTATGCCATCATGTGATATGTGAGACTAAACATAAATAAGGAATGAGAAATTCAGGTAAGTCAAGTGATGCAAAAATTCAGTAGAGAATTAGGACCCAGCAAGACTGTTTCTTTGCATTTATTTGTTTTGAGAGGATATTTAATTTTCAGAGTCCTTTCTGAAAAACGGTAGAAATGATCAGAGGGTAGAAATTGTTTTTATTTGGAAATTTTCAATGTGCTTCCTTGATCACAGTTGTAGTGTCTTTGCAACTTTTGACCAAATTCTGCTTTTGGTCTCAAAAAGTAGATAGAGAGGAAGGGGCATGATAGAATAAAGAAAAAAATTAACTTTTTTTTTTTTTTTTGAGAAGGATTAGTGTTAGCTATCTGCATGATGTGATTTCAGACTCAAGTATTTGAAATATTGAATACTTTCTCTGCTAACTTCTTGTTGTCTGAAGTTTTCCCATTATCTTTATTTTTCTATGAAGACATACAAGACCTTCTAGAACTAACACCAAAAAAATATGTCCTTTTCATCATAAGGAATGGGAATGCCAAAATAGGAAGTCAAGCGATACCTTGAAAACAGGCAAATTTGGCCTTGGAGTACAAAATGAAGCAGGGCAAAGGCTAACAGAATTTCACCAAAAGAACACATTGGTCATAGCAAAGACCCTCTTCCAACAACACAAAAGGCGACTCTATGCATGGACATCACCAGATGGTCAATACCAATATCAGATTGATTATATTCTTTGCAGCCGAAGATGGAGAAGCTCTATACAGTCAGCAAAAACAAGACTGGGAGTTGACTATGGCTCAGATTATGAACTCCTTATTGCAAAATTCATACTTAAATTGAAGAAAGTAGGGAAAACGACTAGACCATTCAGGTATGACCTAAATCAAATACCTTATGATTTTACAGTGGAAGTGATGAATAGTTTCAAGGGATTAGTTCTGATAGAGTGCCTGAAGAACTATGGATGGAGATTCATAGAATTGTACAGGAGGCAGTGATCAAAACCATCCCCCCAAAAAGAAATGCACAAAAGCAAAATGGTTGTCTGAGGAGGCCCTACAAATAGCTGAGAAAAGAAGAGAAGTGAAAGACAAAGGAGAAAAGGAAAGATATATCCATTTGAAGGCAGAGTTCCAAGAACATCACAGAGAGATAAGAAAGCCTTGCTAAGTGATCAATGCCAAGAAATAGAGGAAAACAATAGAATGGGAAAGACTAGAGATCTCTTCAAGAAAACTGGAGATACCAAGGGAATATTTCATGCAAAGATGAGCACAATAAAGGACAGAAATGGTATGGACCTAACAGAAGCAGAAGATATTAAGAGGTGGCAGGATACACAGAAGAACTGTACAAAAAGATCTTCATGATCTAGATAACCATGATGCTGTGATCACTCACCCGAGCCAGACATCCTAGAATGCGAAGTCAAGTGGGCCTTGGGAAGTATCACTATGTGCAATGCTAGTGGAGGTGAGGGAATTCCAGCTGAGCTATTTCAAATCCTAAAGGATGATGCTGTGAAAGTGCTGCACTCAATATGCCAGCAATATTGGAAAACTCAGCAGTGGCCACAGGACTGGAAAATATCAGTTTTCATTCCAGTCCCGAAGAAAGACAATGCCAAAGAATGTTCACCACACATTTGCATTGATCTCACATGCAAGCAAAGTGATGCTCAAAATTCTCAATGTGAGGCTTCAACAGTATGTGAAATATGAACTTCCAGATATTCAAGCTGGATTTAGAGAAAGCAGAGGAACCAGAGATCAAATTGCCAACATCCATTGGATCATCATAAAAGCAAGAGTTCCAGAAAAACGTCTACTTCTGCTTTATTGACTACGCCAAAGCCTTTGACTGTGTGAATCACAACAAACTGTGGAAAATTCTTAAAGAGATGGGAATACCAGACCTCCTGAGAAATCTGTATGCGTGTCAAGAAGCAGCAGTTAGAGCTGGACATGGAACGACAGACTGGTTCCAAATTGGGAAAGGAGTACATCAAGGTTGTATGTTGTCACCCTGCTTATTTAACTTCTATGCAGAGTACATCATGCAAAATGCCAGGCTAGATAAAGCACAAGCTGGAATCCAGGTTGCAGGGAGAAATGTCAATAACCTCAGATAAGTAGATGACACCACCCTTATGGCAGAAAGCGAAGAAGAACTAAAGAGCCTCTTGATGAAAGTGAAAAGGAGAGTGAAAAAGTTGGTTTAAAACTCAACATTCAAAAAATGAAGATCGTGGTATCTGGTCCCATCACTTCATGGCAAGTACATGGAGAAACAGTGGAAACAGTGACTGAACTGAGAAAACTTTATTTTGGGAGGCTCCAAAATAACTGCCTGTGGTAACTGCAGCCATGAAATTGAAAGATGCTTGCTCCTTGGAAGAAAAGCTACGACCAACCTAAACAGCATATTAAAAAGCAGAGGCATTACTTTGCTAACAAAGTTACATCTAGTCAAAGCTATGGTTTTCCAGTAGTCATATATGGATGTGAGAGTTAGACTATAAAGAAATCTGAACACTGAAGGACTGATGGTTTTGATCTGTGGTATTGGAGAGCACTCTTGAGAGTCCCTTGGACTGTAAGGAGATCAAAGCAATCAATCCCAAAGGAAATCAGTCCTGAATATTCATTGGAAGGACTGATACTGAAGCTGAAACTGCAATATTTTGTCCACCTCTTGTGAAGAACTGACTCATTAGATAAGACCCTGATGGTGGGAAAGACTGAAGGCAGGAGAATGGGATGGCAGATGATGAGATGTTTGGATGGTATCACTGACTTGATGGGCATGAGTTTGAGTAAGCTCCGGGAGTTGGTGATGGACAGGGAAGCGTGTCTTGCTGCAGTCCATGGACTGCAAAGAGTCGAACATGACTGAGTGACTGAACTGAACTGATCTTTCTGTTTTAATGATTTAAAACTTTATTCACAGTTAAAGTAAAAATGCCTATATGTCACCCAACTAAATTTTTTGAGCAAATGTGGTAAACTTTGCAAGTCTCTGCCCTCAGGTCAAGTTTTGAAGGATAGTAGAGAGTGGAATAGTGGAAATCATCACTCTTATGTTCTTCCATTCAAACTTTCTCCTCAGCTATACAGGCAGTATTCCCACCTGATTTACTCCCTTTCCACACCTCCTCTCCCATCCCTCTGTCTTTTTTGCTTTTCCTGAGTATATTCTTCTTGGACTGATTTTTAATTTATAAAGTCCAGGAAAATTTCCAATATATGTCTCAGTTTTGATGCCTCTGTTTATTTTTTTTAATTTCCTGAGCACTGTATACTTCTTTAATCCACAAATTCATTTTTTTCCTCTTGCATCTCATGGACATTTTTTTCAATATATAAATGAAACTTTTCTCTTTCTTCCATTTATAGGACAGAATACAAGATTTCCATGAAATAAAGTACAGTTTATTTACCTTTCCTGGGTTAGCATTATTTGTCTGATATAACTATTAATTCTCTTCTAAGAGATTTGTAATCTCTTTGTCTTTGTTCTCTCTGCTCATTTGGCCTTTATTTCAGTATTTGGCCACATATATTCTGTTTGTGCCATTTCACGTGTATTTATTATTTTTCTAATAGTGATGTTTTGATCTCTACTTTGTCTTTTTTGCTTTTCAATTTCATCCTTCAATTTATTCTGTTGTCTTATCCTTTCATCTTGGATGTCTTGTTTTATTGATTTCATGTTGTCCATGATTTCTTCTAAAGAGCAAATTTTTCATTGTGGAGATTTTTTTCCCCTGTTTTTGTGGTACTGTTTAAGTCCATAATTGATTCTTTTTTTTTCTTTGTTTCTGTGTTTTTTAAAAAAATTTCATTAAACCTGTCCTCCTTATTTTGTTTGAAATTTAAATTAAGAAAATATTTACATGTTTCTTGTAATCAGAAAAAACTATAGAGGTATATAAAGACTTTTTGCTACACTCCTCCCAACCCCACCCGCTTAGGGTTATTATTGCTAATGATCTTGTGTGTATATGTTCATATTTTTTCTGTTATTAATATATATATATATACACACATATATGCCTGTACATATGATTTTCTTTTTCTTTAAAAATAAGGTCTAATTTCACGTATGTTTTTGAAATTTGTTTTTTAAAAATTTGCTTTTTCAAAATTTAACATCACTATTGAGGATTTTCTTTTTGGTTACTGTAAACAATACTGCAGTAGATACTTATATATGTAATATATATCCTTATATACTAATGCTTTTATATTGAATTGATTTCATTCAATATAATGCTTTTATTGAATTGAGTTCAAAAGGGGAATTATGGATCAGAGGGCATGTGCATTTCATTATTGATAGAAACTGTTGGATTACTTTGCTGCTCGTAACAGTTCATGCTTGGATCAGCATTGCATTGAGTGAATATTTACCTATTTGCTAATATGAAAATGATACTTCATAGCTAGCTTGGTTTGCACTTTTTGGGCTATAAATGAAAAGGTAAAACTTTTCAAATATTTTTTGGCATTTCCTCTTCCATGAATTGCTTCCTATATTTTGCTTTTTTTTTTTGTATTGAATTGCTTATAATTTACATGTAACATTATTTTTTGTGTATAAATTCTTTGTCCTATTGTTGCACATATATTTTCCTTAGTCTCTTATATGTTTGGACTTTTAAGTAGTGCTTCCTCTTAATGAAATTTTGAAAGCATAGTAATTAGAAATTCTAGAGGAAAATTAACAAAATAAATTGCTGTGTAAGAGACAACATACGTTCATGGCACAGTATTTCATTCTGCAGAGAACAAGACCCATGAAGTTAAAATATTACAAACAAATAGGAAGTTAAATGACTCCCTTCTGGAATTTCCTCTTTTGTGTTTATCTTGGATTAATTTTCTTGAGTTGATTTATTTCACCCTGTGGAATGCTTGTCTTTTTTTTTTTTGCTTTGATTTTAGTATTTCTGATCCTACTGTTCCTGATGCTGTTTGGTGTTTGCTCCTCATTTTGCTGGATGGTATCCTTTCTTAACTTCAAAGAAAGGTATGTGGAATGTAAAGTTTAAGTGTCCTTGTATGCTTGAAAGTGAAACTGCATTTTACCTACATTGTTAATAATTTAAACTGGTGAGAGATTATTAGGTTGAAACTGATTTTGCATCTCCAATGTCTGATAACACCTAGTGATGCTTATTAAAAGTTTCATCCAAGCATAATTCTTGTTTCTTTGTAGACAGCTTTCCCCCCTCTGTTTAATGCCTTATGGATGCACATACACTCTTTACCCTGTTCTTAAATTTTACCATGATATGTGAAACCTAAAAAAATTTAACTTCCTAGTATTCACTAAATTCTTAAAGTTTTAAGATTTGTATCATCTTTTAGCTTTTGCAATATTACTTGCATGGATTAAAAAATTATTTACTTCCTGTTATGGACTGAATTGTGTCTCCTACTTTCCCTCACATTCATGTGTTGAAGCCCTAATCCCCAATGTGAAGATAGAGCCTTTAAGGAGATAATTTAGGTTAAGTGAGGTCATGAAGGTGGGATCCTAATCTGATAAGTCTGGTATTGTGATAAGAAGAGAGAGAAACACCAGAGATCTCTCTGTTTGCCATTTGAGGGTTCAGCAAGAAGGCGGCTGTCTGTAAGCCAGGAAGAGACGTATTCAGAGGAAGAAATTGAGGGCCTTCCTCAGATACTATGCTGTCGGTCAATAAAAATGCAGCATTTGGATTTTGTGTTTATATAATTTAATTATTTTTCAGAATATAATATTTGTTTTGGGGGATTTGAAAATATTATTAAACTGGCATTGCAATATATTAATACGTTTGAGAGGTCCCAGCCTATCAGTGATACTTGAAACAACAGGGTTAATTTTTGTCCACATCAAGGGATGACTTAATAGAAAGCCTGACATAGTTCTGGGTACATGAATAGGGCTTGTGTGATGTAAGGCTTTTTTCTAAGGAGAGCAGAAGGGGAGCTGGTTTTAGTTCAGAACCCAAACGCCAGAATGCTAAGGGCCTTACTCTGAGCTCAACACTATTATTAGCTGGGCTAGTTCTTTGGCAGATAGTCCATTCTAGTATAGTATTGTTACTAGCAAATACCTTTTTAATTTTCTCTAGAGTGTACATGTTTGGCTGTTGGCACCCTGTGTACAATCGCTAGAAGGGTGTATGGGTTACAAATTTCATCTAAGACCTGTAAGCCACCTCCTCCTGCTCAGTTTCTTACTGTCAGGCTTTATGAGACCATGCTGTGGGCCGATCACTCTGAAATCTTGATGAGCAGATGGCCGTTCTCCACAGCTGTGGGACCCTTCTGCCTCCTTCACTATGTACTTTCATTATTATAGAATGTTTCGGATAGACCCCGTTCACTGTTGGCTTCCACCATTTCTCTTTGTTGTTGATGGATTGTAACTTTGTTATGCTCTTATTGTTGTTTTCACAAGACCTCAAAAGGAGAAGAGAAATGCAGGTATTTAGTCTGCCATTCTGAAATGGAAAATTCTAATTTTTATGTAGATAAAAATGTTTGTCCTCTACAGAGTTGATCTTTTTTAAACACACTGTGTTTATCTATCTTTATTACTGGTAGTATTTTTGCATATTTTCCATTTCACTTTATATAACTGTATTAGCATTTAATTGGCATTTATAGGACTTCTATGTAATATGTTTCAATTCTGTTAGACTCTTTCCCCATCTTCCCTGAGACATGCTAGTCTTACTTTCTTAAATGATGTCTTTTGTTTTTTGTTTCTCTGTTTTTTTTGCAAAATAAAAATTTTGTGGCCGTGCAAAGTTTTACTTCATTTAGGGGTTAAGATCACCAAGTATAAAGTTCTGAAGGTAGAGTTCATTTTTTATCCATCCCTGCATTCCTAAAGGATCTGTGTAGAGATCAAGAGGCCTTGATGAAATGAGTAGCTGCAAGGAAACATTTCTCTCACTCACTTCTATTAACTTGTTTACTCATTCATTCAGCAAACATTTATTGATGAGCCACTATGTTCCAACCATTGAGCACTACTATACACTGGGGATCCAGAGCCAAACAAGGCTGGTGTGCCTTCTAGAATTTCAGAAATGTAGCACTTATCATTTATCTTGCTCTGTGCTCTGTGAGGTCTATGAAAGCCTTTTGTCCCTAACAGAAAGGTGGTTGAGGGTGAAAGCTATTTCTTATATTTCTTTGGAGCTCATTCCTTTTCCACTCCAGAAAAATACCTGGGTGGGTCCACAGTCCCCTCAGGTCTGTGTTCTGGTGTCATCAAGAGCTTTAAGATGCTCTTGTGAGCGGGCATGTTCTTCTCATGGCTCTTTCTTAAAGCCACATTTGTTGCTCTTATTTATATGTTTCTTCAACACTTTAAATATAGTAAGTGTACAAAAATTTTAACCGTGTAAATATCATGGTAGGGATGGTAGAAGTTGTATTAGGTAGTGTCTGGAACAGGAAATTTGCTTTCACTTGAGCAGTGTCAAGACAAGAGTAAGACTAGTACACATTTCAAGGAGATGGTACCCAGGGATGGCAGGAGTGAAGATTTGGGTTTTGGGAGTGATGAGTCAGAATTTTTGAGTAGCTCTTTCCATTTCCTTAAGTCAAAGCACAGAAGACTAAGACAAGAAAACACAGAGGGGGTGGCAGAAAGTACCCAACTTCTATTACCAGTTGAGTTGTCTTTGTTGGAGTTTTGCTGCATGCTAGATTTTTTTTTTCTTAGTAGGATTCATAGAAAATCTATTTATTAGCTCACAGTTTTTTGGTCTTTTTTCTCACTCCTGAGAATTTGAGTATGTCATTATATCTTTAATTTTTATATGTATTTTTCTTAATTAAAAAAATATGTCATAGTAAGTGTGGGAACAGTACTTGAAATAATTGTTGTATGGATTACTTCACTGTAGTATGTATTCCAGTTATGTATAAATATATACAATATGTTGCAACATAGTATAGCATAGCACAGCAAAATGTACAAAATCCTTTCTACCTATTAGTTTAGGTGGAGCTCAAATTTAATTCTGCCACAAAGTCTACTTTGAACAATTGTTTAGAAGTCATCTTGCCTACTTATCTAGAATATGTATTTAGCACTTAGCTAGCATTACAAGGAAGTTTATGATATATGTTTAAACATTATGAGTAATGTAAGTAATGTTAGAAAGCTTGTAGTATGTGTTCATTATATGCTAGGCATAGTGGTAGCCAAACCCAGGTAGAAACTCCCAATAAGTAAGAATAATGTGTTTGAGGTCATCATACCTCCGTTATATCATGATGTCTGCATAAAAAGAACATTGAACAAAATAATCTAATTATTGGTTTATTTTGTAGATAATTTTGTTTCCCATCTTTAAATCAAGAACTTTAGAAATATTATCACATCATTAGTTTTCTATAGTATTTGAAATTGCCTGTAACATTGGATTTCATTTATTAGATATCAGAACTTCAGTATGATCAGGATTTATATATCTTTGTAATAGAATAATAGTAATTGATAACATCTATTGACTGTTTATTATGTGTCAGACCTATTGTAATCATTTTAAGACATTAGGTCTATTGAGTCTTTGTAATAACCACCCTTATTATCTCCAATTTTGGAGGAAGAAATTGAGGGCTTTCCCCAGATGTTATGCTGCCTGTCAATAAAAATATAGCATTTGGGTTTTGTGTTTATGTAATTTAATTCTTTTTCAGTATTTGTTGTTTTTTTTCAATTATATGACTTAAAGAAGACTGAATTATAAGAAACTATAGGACAAATTAGAGAAGGAAATGGCAACCCACTCCTGTATTCTTGCCTGGGAAATCCCGTGGACAGAGAAGCCTGGTGGCTGCAGTCCTGTGGGGATCATAAAGAGTCAGACATGACTTAGTGACTGAACAACAACAACTTAGGACAAAGATGTAGGAGAAAATACGTTCTCCAAAGTATCTGACCTTTTCTTAAGGACAGCCACTAGCTAAAAATTAGTAGCCACTAATGGGGTGGCTACTTTGGAAGAAAAGAAGGCTGTTGAGATAAGATTACAGAGATACATGAAGTTGATTTGCTGCCTCATTCAAACTTAAGTGACTACAGCAAAAAAAAAAAACACCAAAACTGATGATAGAAGAACCACAAAATAATGTAAGTGTTAGTGTGGTAAATTTTATAAAAATAAAATAACTGTTAAATCTGATCAAAGAATGAACAAAAGCTTATCCACAGATGAGATAATCTTTTCTGTGTTAAATTCCAGTAGGGATTTGTTGATCGAGAAAATTAACATGTGTTTCTACTTATTGGAACCCTCTTCCTCCTTAAATTATTTCCTCCTCATTTTTGCAGGGTAATTGGGCATAAGTATGTCATGATAGCTAGGAATTTAAAGAGTTTATTTGAATAAACTGAGATCTCTAAGCATAGCTATGTTTCTTCTCAGCTTCAAGATAATTTGCTAGTTAACCATCACAGTATCCTAGAGAGTTGGGATCAAAATATGCTTTTCACTTTGCAGGTTGCTTTAGGCAAAGACCAGATAAGCGCCTTATCTGAGCTTGCTGGCAAGCCAGGGGCAGAGCAGGAATTAGAATGTCATATTCTGGATGCTTTATCTTGGGTTTAGTCGAGGAATTCTCACCACTTCCCATACAGACAACATGGCAAGTGGGGAAGCAAAGGTGAGGCAGGGAAGCAGTGCTACCTGGGTCTGCCTGAGGCTGTCATTGTGAATTTCTGTGTTTCTACGGGGAGTTAAGAACCCAGGAGTCAGTAAACTAACCTCCAGATAATAACATCAACAATCCATTTTTTCAAGTTCATATATTTCTTTGAACTGACAGCCTCATCTCCCTAGTTCACTGCCAAAGGCTAATACTGTGCTGAGCTTTACCATGAAAATCTTTTTCACTCTAGAAAACAGCTGAGAGGAAATAACATGACATTTTTCTCTTCAATTGAACCTATAGCTCTGTTTACTCCAGAAAAGTGCAATGCTTACTAAA